AAATGGGTGTCTGCGAATTCCAGATGACCATCACTCTCGCATCCTCCTCATTGTGCCCGGATGTTGCATGTGATTATTTCCCGGGAATGTAGTCATTAGAGTAATTGCTTGCGACAGACATTACCTTGATTAGAGACGGGTTGGGAGGGCTGGCCTAATTGCTTTTATATTCATATATTTTATTTATTTATATATTTTGTCGAAGATATAATAAGATTTTAAATTTCGAGAAGAAAAGTGTGTTGGAAAGACTTGATTCATTACTTATATTTGTATTTTTTTTCTCTCGAACAAGTAAAAAAAAAGATGTCAGTGTTATAACTGAATCTCTCTTGGTAATGTGATACTGGAATATAAAGTGGGTCATGGCTGATTATTTTCAGATGCCCAAGTATTTTCGTATTTAAATTTTTTTTCTTCTTTTTTTTTCTTCTTTTTTTTAGCTGTTTGGTTTTAATTTTAGGAGAAAAGTTTTACTACAACTACTTTTATTTCTCTTTATGGACATCTTTATAGAGATATCTTCGTGACTTGATAGCGTCATGAAAACAAATGACAATTATGTGATAGTACGCTTTCATTTTTTCCCTTTTTAGTATCATCACTTTTGCCTTTTCCCTTTATTTATTTACCAACATAAAACACATCAATGAGACCAATCGTAAACAGATGATAGCCATGAATTTCAGTGTCCATTTCGTTGAACTGAAATATTTCGATGAAATATTTCCCGGCAAACTTTCCCACCATGGATGAGATCGGATTTATTTATATTGAGGCGTTTATTTACACCGCGTTAACGTCCTTTCATCGGCGTGATCCATGAGGGGGCGTGAGTGTAAGATCACAGCGTTTTCGTGATATTTTTGTGTACCTTTTTTTTTTCGTTTTCGTGATTTAGATTTTTGTTTGCTTTTTTTGTGTGTACTTTTGAACACTATTTTTTATTGTTGTATGCTTCAGTGTATGTTTACCATCCTGTATATGCTATTTTTTTTGCATAGATTGATGGAAAGTTTTCTTTGCAGGTGTTAATTTTCGTTCATATAAATGTATGTTTTTTTATCTGCGTTATATGTATGTATTTCCATTAACTAAATGTTTATCCTATTTTACATTTATGTTTATCTTTGTTTACAATTCTTTTATACAATTTTTGTTTGGTTTGCCTTTTTCAGA